TGTGCACACGTCTCTTGAACTGTTATCTGTCCTTACCATGATCTGCATAGAACGTCCTTCACTACTATTCACTCTCCCTTTGCAGATATCTGAATAATGGCCCAGCTTCTCAGATAAAGGAATACCAGGAAAGCATTGCTGTGGTTAGTAGAAAAGGTATTCTGCCTCTGGAAAGGGATGTCATCCACTATGGATAGTAAACATTTTCATTTATTTTTCTACTAAAGGCCTGGTGCACAAATTCATGTACCAGTGGCGTCCCTCAGCCTGGCCTGAAGGATCGGGCTGAAACCGGCTCTCCAACATCCCCCAAGGGGTCCCGGATTGCAAGAGGGAGCGGGCCAGGCTGAGGGACCCCACTGGTGCATGGGGCTGGGGAGAGATGCAGGAGGTTAACCAGTCAGGGAGGGACTGCAGGAGGGCCCCAGGGTGTGTCTGGCCGGTCTCACTCAGTCCTGATCGGCAGGACCCCAGCAGCAAGCTAACCTACCAGTTGGAGCATCTGCCCCCTGGTGGTCAGTGCATGTCATAGCAAGTGGTTGAGTGGCCTAAGCATTATCATTAGCATATTACGTTTTGATTGGTTAAATGGCTAACTGGTCGACCGGATACTTAGTATATTAGGCTTTTGATACATAGGATTTATTGTGAGTTAAGTAGAAATGACCATCTCAGAATATCCTTAAAAGACATAGGCCCAAGTAATAGTTTTGCCACTTACTAAATGTATATTTTAGGCTAGGCTTTATGCCTCTATTTCCTCATTTGTATAATTGGGCTTACTAAAATATTGTGGGATTGCTGTAAGTATTAAATGAGATACCATATGTTCTATACCCATAAAATCATAAACATTCCACAAATATATTTAATATTAAATTTTGTTTCTACTATGATTCCTTATTTCAGAGATCAATAGATAGCAACACAATTTTACAATGTGCTAAAGCTCTTTGAACATGTTCCTCAAAAGGCCATTGTTAACGAAATAATGTTGCTTTCTTTCATTCACACTGCAAAGATACTGTCAAGCATTCACAGCAGTCCCTCATAAGTGGTACTCACCTTGCAAAACCTAGGGGATGTAAATATAGTCCCTGCTTTAAGAATTTTACTCCATGGTTGTGAGTCCATGATGTCAATATCATTACCAGCCAATGAAGGCCACAATGGATTATATTTTCTGAAAGATGATTTTTAAATTTTCGGAAGAAAAGAGGAAATCTGAAAACAATCAAAAAAGTCTCACATAGTGGAAGGGGAACCATAGAGCTGGAGTTGGTATACTGAAGTCTAGTGACACATTCAAAAAAAATTCAAAGTTCTAGTTTTCTTCTACCTATGAGTAATTCCACATATCTAAGTCATAGCTTCCTCTATTTTATGCAATATAATTGACATATAAATTATATTAGTTTCAGATGTACAACATGTTTTGAGATATATATATATATATACATATATATATATATATATAAATGGTTAGTACAATAAGTCTAGTTAACATCCATCACCACACAGTTATAATTTTATTCTTGTGATGAGAACATTTAAGACCTACTCTCTTAGCAACTTTTGAATATTCACTACAGTATTATTAACTATAATCACCATGATGTACATGACATCCCCATGACTTATTTATTTTATATCTGGGAATTTGTGCCCTTTGACCCCATTTACCCGTTTAATGCACTCTCCACTCTCCACAGCTTCCTCTTCTTAAAAGTGAGTCTAATAATACTTTCTCTACTCACATGATATTGTTAAGGAAGAATGACAGATACGTGTAAAAAGCAAAGTAATGTCTATATTCAAGATTTCTATCTTTTTTCCTAGACTGTGAGCTCCTAAAAGATGGGACCTTGCATCTCTGTACTCAGTGCCTGTTCTATAGTGGGCAGGCTTATAGTGAATGAATGGATATGCCAGTTATCAATTGGTTGGTCCCGAGAAAGAGTTGCTATTGGAGGTGCTGAGTAGCACACAGGCAAGAAGTGGATTCCTCAGAAGCTATTGCTGTCTGTGGCTAAGGGAATTTAGGCTGTGTGAGGGAATGGCCTAAGGAATTCCTGGGCAGGTCTTTGTTCTGACAGAAAGTGGTGGGAAAAGGTCCCAGCTCTCTGATGCTGTGAGTACTCATCTGAGTGAAGCAGGAAAGTCAGATGAAACCAGTTAGGGTGTTCTGCTCAGTGTGGCTGAGTGTGATGGATGGCTTGGTGTGCTGTTTATCTAGTGCAGGTTGGTATTTCACCTCTGTTTTCATTAAACTGATGGTAAGGTAATAAGTCTTTCCTCTGGCTGAAATATCTGTCTTCGGCCATTTGTTGATCTTCTTGAACAGGCACCTCAGGTGCACAGAAGTCCCCCTACAGGAGGTTTTGAATGAAAACTTAAATAATGCTGCTCAGCATCCACCAAGCTCTCAGGCAGCACAGGTGCTGCCAGACTTGCTGTGGTTATGGGGTGCAGAGTCACATTTACCCAAAGAGAGTTGACCAAGGAATGCTGTGAGGTAACCAAGGGGCAGACATAACACTTTATTTCTCTGGAAAGATTCAAACTTAAATTAAGCTCCTGTTTCTAATAATTCTGAAATAACAATGTCAACTAATGAATTATTTTTATTCATTCATCCTTCAATTAAACAACTATTCCTTAAATATTGGTGTAATGTTTCCAGACACTGTGCTAGGTACTGGAACTATTAAAATGAAGGACAGTCTCTGACCTTAAGGAATTTCTAGAAATGGGGTAAGAAACAAGCCAGCGATGACAGTTTGGCTGTGGTAGCACAGAAGAGGAGCACCTGACGCATCTCCATTCCACTAGAGAGTGGGGAGGGAGAAAGGGCTTTCAAGAGGCAGTGATGTGGAATGAATCTGGAAGGACATGTGGGAGTTAGCCCGGGGGGAAAGATATAAAAAATTATTTCCTTTCAGATCTGTTCTAATATTCAAATAAAATTATAAAGGCACATTCAGAAGCTGGGAAACACTCTTTTGCTTGAACACTGATGCTTCCTGTGGATTCTGAAGGAAGCTGTTGCTACCAGTGGAGGCTTTGGTGGTCTGGGGGACTCAGAGGTTGAATAAGCTTTCATAGTTAGGAGACTCTTAAAAGGCTAGAATTCTATAAAAACACTTTCAAATATAAAGTTGTGATCCGCATATGGAATTTTAAATTTTCCAGTAACCACATTATAAAAGTAAATACAGGTGAACTTAAACTTTAATAATATGCTGTATTTAACCAGTATATCCAGAATATTAGCATTTCAACATGTAATCAACATAAAAAATGAGATATTGTAAAATCTCATTTTCACATTAAGATTTCAAAATCCAGCATGTGCTTTACACTTAGAACACATTTCAATTTGTAGTAGCCACATGTGGTCCATGCCTCTCAAGGTGAACAGTGCCGTTTTATGGCATCAAATCTCACTGTGCTCACAAATGAAAATGAACCCAGAGCACTCTGGCTGGGTTTATTCATGACTATTCATTCCATCACTTACTGTATTTTTCCATGTATAAGACACCCCCATGTATAAGATGCCCCTCACTTTTCCAACCCAAAATTAAGAAATCAATATTTTAAACATAAAACAGAACACATTTTTATTTAGTAATTCCCGCAGTAATATCATACCAGCACTATGATATTATGCAGCATATCACTTTATTCAGCCTCAGTTGCATCACTGCTCTCTTCTTCATCACTATTAGTTCCAGACATATCAATTTCTTCAACTTCTATTGTATCACTGCTGTCTTATGAGTCACTGCCTATATATGTGAGATCATCCTCATAAACTGGTGGCATTTTCTGAGCTAACTTTGTTCGTGTTCTCATGGCCAACCCTTCTCTCCCCATGAAATTGAAGCACCATTTTTCCTTTCCTGTAAAATCAACAATGTTCATTTCGCTTGCAAACATTCTTGCCTGACATTGAATCAGCTTGGTTGACACACATAAGCCACTCTGGTGCTGCTCCACAATCCAAGTCTGAAGCCTCTGCTCCAAGTTTTCCCATTTTGCTGGTTTTCCTCTTAAGGCCTTCTTCTTCTTTGGCATCTTAGGGGTTGTTCTTCCTGTTTTCTCCACTGTCTGATCATACACACTCAGTGGGAGGAGGTCCAAATTGTCTCTCTGCAGCTCTATTTCCATGCTCTTTTGCATAGCTGATTACATTCAGTTTGAATTTTGCAGAGTAAGACAATTGCTTATGGGTATTTATCTTTTTATTTTTTAACATCTTTATGGGCTCAGAACGCCCTGTTGCATCCTCACACTCCCCATCTCCAATACGGCATCAGCTGACATAAGTAATAATAAGGCAGGTGACTGGAGAAAGCCTGTTGGACAAGGCATGGGCAGCTATTGCACCCGTGTGGCTCCCTCCTTCTGTATATAAGACATGGATCGGTTTTCAGTCTAACGATTTTAGAAAAAAATAGCATCTTATACACAGAAAAATACGGTATTAAAGTAGTATTTACTTTCTTTACGAAGGCAAAAACAAAGGTTCTACCAGGATTTAGGTTATATCCTAAGTATTTCTCTTGTATTTGACAGCCAACAGTTTATAATGACAGGCCCTATACCTCATAACCAAACTATGATAGAGTCTTTGAAAGAAGACGGTTTTAATTTTTTGATTGTTTGTTTGTTTGTTTGTTTAATTTGTATTGAGAACATAATGTTTAGTACTAGCTGAGCTTTTTGCTATGCTATACTATTATTTAGAATTGCATTAGCTACAACATAATGTCTTTGTTTCCTCTGAAAGAGGACTGTGTAAATTGTGGGTACGACCAAAGCATTTGGGGCCTCACAGGTTGCTTATAGATTGCACTACCACAGGGCCAGTTTGTGATTACGCAGACGTGATACAATTCAGGGCCAATTATTCCCTTACAAAAGATGCGGTCAAGGCAAACCTTCACACATAATGCCACCTGTGCTCATTTTTTTTCTTATTGGACTCGTCACAGTTTGTATGTGGAGTATTTTCACTGTGAGCCAAGACAGGATGAAAGTCCTGCCGATGATTCGCCTTTGGGAAGGCAGCAATCTCGCTGGGTCTCAATTTCCCCCTCTATGCAATGGCAGGTAAGAACTTTGGCCCCAAGGTCTTATCACCATGAAGATATAAACAAATCCTTCTCATCTTTCTGATTCTCAGTTTAGCACAGTGCTGATGATTGCAAAAGATTTCTTCAATCCCAAAAGGTTACCCGGGGCCAACCAGTCCGTCACTTTTCCTCTCTTCTCTTTAGTGGGTCACTCGCACTTTGTGACAAGAACATTACTAATTGCACAGCCAGTGCCAGGGGCACTGTGGAGTCCTTGAGGAAGTCACTGTTAGCTACAACCCGTATAAAAACGGATTATTCCCGAGAGAGGCCACATGCCGATCTGAGAGCAGGCAAGGCTGGTGCCTCAAAGTTCTCCCAACACGCAGAAGGTGCACAGCCTGGGGCCAACTGTCTTAATGGCAGCCTTCTCAGCTGTGAACAATGAGGCCAGCAGTCCTCATGGCTTTTGAAGAGAGCTGTTTATTAATTAGTTTGTATTTCAAAGTGCGTCACAGTGGAAAGTTTCACTGCAGAATCAAGGCAAATTTCCTTTCATTTTATCCCCCACTACATTAGGAAGGAAAGAAACTGTGCTCACTGAGGCTGGGAGAAGAATGGAGGGATTCAGGCAAGAAAGCTAGCAACCTGCCTCCCAAAGGCAGTGGCTCATTTCCCTGACTGAAAGACGACGCCCATTACAGGGAGCTTTGTAAATTAGGTATCACAAAGGGCAGCCAAACCTGCTCTCTGAAGAACTGCATTTGTTTTAGACTTAATTTTTATGATCCCTTCAAGGAAAAAAGAGGGGAGGGCGGGGGTAAAAAAAGAATATGAACCAAATTACACTGTCATGGGGGATTTGCAAGTGCAACCTTCCCCTTCTTCCTAAGGGAGGGGCATAAATGATACTACTTTTTCTTATTTTTGAAATAGGAGGTTGGACCTATTTGAAACTCAGCCTTTAGATACGCAAATCTTCTTGTCCTACTTCTAGCTTAAGAAGTATGCTCACCAGACTTTTCCTTAGATGATGTCCCACCACTTAAAGAGTAATTGTTCAAAACAGAAAGCGAACTCATTCATATTCTCCTTATGATTAACTGTCCACTAAACTTTTTTGTTTCCTCCCATACTGTGGGAATGCAGCTCCCCTTTGCCTTCAGCTGAGGTCATGTGACAAGTTTCCATCAATGGAAAATGAGTAGGAGGAGGGTTTCTAAGAAGTGGATGGAGTCTATCCTACTCTCTCTGAGCACTGGAAATGATTACAAAGACCTAAAACAAGGCTGAGCCTCAAGACAGAAACTGGAATCTTTTGTCCCACAGATAAGGAACATCTGCTTTGGGCTGTTATCTGAGTGAGAAATAAACTTTTATTGTTTTAAGCCAATTTTTTGAAGTTTATTGTTGTAGCAGCTAATGCTACTCTAACACACACTGCCAGTGCTGATCCTCTTCCCCAAATTCCCCATTATAGTTGTCTTTTCCTTGTCAAAACATGAAACCTCTTTAGGACTTTCATGACACCCAGTATAGTGCAGGGCATATAAAGTATTCAATAAATGCATGTGGGAGGGAGGGAATGAAGGAGGGAGAGAGGAAGGAGGAAGGAAGGAAGGAAGGAAGGAAGGAAGGAAGGAAGGAAGGAAGGAAGGAAGGAAGGAAGGAAGGAAGGAAGGAAGGAAGGGAGGGAGGAAAGGGAGGGGTGGGTGATTGAATTAATGTGTCTGCATTTAAGATTACTCATTTTCTTTTAAGCTTTGAACCTCAACATGCCCACTTCCCCCTTTTAGGTGGTAAGGAAGGGAAATATTTCTCCATTCTTTATGATCTTTGAAAGGATGGACACAGAGCCATGGGAGAAATCACTGGCTAGAGGAAAGCAATCCCTTAGAGAAGGCAATCCAAATATCATCACCCTAGAGAGCTGGGCCACCGCCAATATCTCCATCAGCAACTTGGAAGAGTTGTCTGTCGTCCCAGCACAATAAAACTGGAGACATGAGCATCCAGAGCTCCAGCCAGCACAATTACATGAAGCCAAGGCACATTATCACTTCTGGGTTGCAGGATTTATGACCAACTATGATGGAAAATAAAGACAGAGATACTTTACTTGTCTGAATTCATCACTCACAAAAGGCAGTATGTTTTAATCAGAGAGAAGTTGTTGTATTTTTTTTTTAATAAAAACCTTAGCAAACAGAGCAGAAATAGATGCCAGCACCTTAGAAAAAAATGAAAAAGGGTGCCAGTTTGCTCCTGTTCAGAAAATATGCCATTGATAGCTTTTATTGTTGAAAAACTCCTTTTGAGGCAAGTGTTTCTATTTGGGCGGTTTCCTAGGTGTGGGAACCGCTTCTAACTTGAGTGGAACAAAGGAGTAGGTTGTATTCTGTATTGGTTTTTGCCCATCCAAGTATTAAGTTAGGGACGTTAAGACCATTCTACCCCTAGGAAGCCTGTGATTGTCACTTGCCACGGGGATGCTACTTCCGGTGGCAGCACCCCTGCCATGAACAACCCGAGAGCCATGTTCTCACCAGCGGAGCACGCTCAGGCTTTATTACAGTTGCTCGTTAATTGTCCCCACTCTGGGATGGACACCCTGTGAGCGCAAGGCCCGTGCTGCTCCCAGCTCAGTGAGGCACATGGTGCATGCTCAGGAAATATTGAAGAGCTCTGATTAGGTTGTGATTTCGTGTAATTAAAAGTCTTTACACAGACAATTTTTTTGTCACTATCCATTCCCTTGCAGCCAGTGAAAAGGTAAACCAGTGTGCCTTTTTCCTAATGTTTACAAATTTCGCAATATTTTAACACATGGTGAATCCTCTGGGTAACTGTTTATCCGAACCAACAACATAGCCTCAACATTTCTACAAGGCGGAAAAGATTGTTTGAGAAAAGGAGGAAGGTGCTACATAATTTTGCAAACACAAGGTTTATCTCTTAGTTCGGCCCCAGCTTGGAGCAGCTTCCCAAACCCTAAAAGTGAGCTTGTTTCCAGAACACCTGAAACAGAGACCATGTTTTTATGGTGTTTGCCTTTCACAGTCAAGCTTCCATGAGGGAGCAATATTTCCTCTATATTTATTTTTAAGTCATTTGGGTTTTCCAATAAAACAACATTTTATTTTCCCAGATGAACAGGTTAGCTGTAATCTGGGAAGGGTTCTCCATGGGCTCTGCTTGTGGCTGGGACCCTCTGGAGTGGTCACGTGGAGAGGAATGTGTTATTTGCATTTCAGAAAAACACTTAGTTGGCTGAATGTCTAGCCACTAACATAACAGTTCAGATACAGTTATCCCAGATGTCCTTTCTAAATAGCAATCAGACTTCCTAAGTCCAATAAAAGGATGGGTATTGCGAAGAGGGGGGACCAGAGGAACAAACCATGTTTGGAAGCAGGAAGCAGGTCAAGGAGATAATAAAGGTTTGAAATATAGGAAAAGAAGAGGAGAGACGTATGGATCTTCTCCCCTGTAGATGTCCAGTTTGAACCTACTCCAGTTAGTGGGAAGTCAGATCATTATCTGATGTTCTGTAGCCACCTCCAAAATGTGTTGGTAGATTTAACCAGAGTAGAGTCACTGAAAATCCATGGGCACCACTGATTCGGGCTGCTCAGCACAGCTGTGACCCAAACCTGCCCGAGGCCCCCAATATCACTCACAGTCAGGATGGGGATGAGGGCGAGGGAGGCGCATGCTACCCAAGTCAGCCTCCATGGGAGACCTGAGGCGCTCCGCCCTGGGCCGCTCATTCAGCTCCTCTCTGGAATAATAAAAGGAACTCTTACCATTTGCCACAGCATGGATGGAACTGGAGAGCGGATAAATACCACATGATCTCACTCATTTGTGGAATATAATGAACAACATAAACTGATGAACAAGGACTGATCCAGAGACGGAGAGGCATTGATTGGACTGTCGGGCCTTGGAGGGAAAGTAGGGGAGGGTGGGGGTAAGGGGGAAAGATCAACCAAAGGACTTATATGCAAGCATATAGGCCTAACCAATGGACGCGGACAATGGGGGGGTGAGGGCATGAGCGGGGAAGGGGGGGGGGACGGGGGGGGGATAGGGGGTAATGTGGGGATAAGGACACATATGTAATATCTTTTTTTAAAAATGTTTTTATTAATTTTTATTTTGTTTAATATATTTTATTGATTTTTTACAGAGAGGAAGGGAGAGAGGTAGAGAGTTAGAAACATCGATGAGAGAGAAACATCAATCAGCTGCCTCTTGCACATCTCCCACCGGGGATGTGCCCGCAACCCAGGTACATGCCCTTGACCGGAATCGAACCTGGGACCTTTCAGTCCGCAGGCCGACGCTCTATCCACTGAGCCAAACCGGTTTCAGCCACATATGTAATATCTTAATCAATAAAAAATATATTTTTTAAAAAAAAGAGGCAAGAGGCTACCAGCCGTGGGCAAAGTATGGCCCGCAGGCCAGATCCGGCCAGTTTGAAATGACTAAAACTAAAAAAAAAAAAGACCGTACCCTTTTATGGAATGATGTTTACTTTGAATTTATATTAGTTCACACAAACACTCCATCCATGCTTTTGTTCCGGCCCTCCGGTCCAGTTTAAGAACCCATTGTGGCCCTCGAGTCAAAAAGTTTGCCCACCAAGCTCTTATAGATAGGCCCTTTTAGTCCTCGAATGGAACCATAGATTTACTTTATAAACATATATGTAAATATGTATACATGCATGATCAGTATTTATATAAAAAGAGAACGTAAAACATTCTAAACTTAGATTGCAGTGATGGTTGCACAACTCTGTGACTGCACTAAAAACTATTAAAGTATACATTTTAAATGGTAAACTTTATGATATATGAATTATATTTCAGGAAAGATTTTTTGAATGAAAGTATTTCATATATCCTTTTATTTTTCTTTTTTAAAAAAATTATGTGCCAGGATACACTCCAGGATTACTAAATGTTTGCTAATGAATTACATCTTTATTCCAATTTTAGAGCTGCCAGGCCACATTGCCCATGTAGAGGGCCAGCAAGAAAAATAACAAAAAGTTACGCTGACCCAGAGTGGCGCTCTGCATGTGCTCCCGCACTGCCTCCCCCACGTCCGCTTCTCCTCACCCGCCCTGGGGGTGGGTGCTTACTATGGTCCAGGAATCATCATTTGAAAGACGGTGTTTTCGGTGATTCATTCTACTTCTAACATTCTCCATGTGGATGAGATTGCTGGAAATTGCTGTGAATGTGAAAACTGGCGATTATTTTTTAACCTATCTTCAAAGCCAGTTCATACGCAATAATTCAGTCTTACACTATCTTGTGTGCTATAATTGCAGTTATTTTATAAGTGATAAAATCTTACAAGGGTTGTATTAGTCAGATTCACAGGAGCTATTCGTCTCCTTTTTTTGATGGGTTGGTAAATTATGTGAGTAGCATAGAGCAGTGTTTCTCAAACTATCTATTATGAAAGATCAAATTTTATAAAATGTTCAAGAGGTTGGTAGCTTTTGTAAAACCAGTAAAAATAAATTACCAGTAAAAAATAATACAACAGAGACATACAAAATAGAAACCCCTCTTTTTTTTTCAACACCTCTCCCTACACTCCCTTCTGCACCTGCTTGCGTACCTCCAGTTTTGCCTTCACCCACTTTCTCACTAGTCCTTCCCAGACACACACTGCGTCCCACTGCTCCTACCTGGTCACTTCCACTCAGAAAACCCCTCCAGCCCTGGCCTTCTGACCACCCTCAAGGCCTGTCCCTTGCCCTTGAATTAATAGACATTAGATTTTTAAATATTAAATTGAATAATATATTATTATATTAGATTTAATAACATTAAGTTACATTTTAATAGATATCAAAACAAACAACATAGGAAAAGAAATTGAATTTTTAAAAACTATACACATTGTTTATTGAAAATATCTGTGGAAGTGAATAATAGAGAAAATTGCTGTTATACTCATAATTTTTATAATTCTGTAATCATAACATACAATTTTAAGTGGAATAAATTTCCTTATTAAATATCTATATTTGCACTTTTAATGAACAATTTGTACATCAGTGTTTAATTTTAATGTTATGAATGAGTTTGCTTCTCACTTGTTTACTTATACATCTAGGATAGATGGATAGCAATACTACTCACAGGGGGAAATGTATGTTAAAACTTTCTATGTTTTAATACATAAAATAGAAAAACCAGTCTTGCAGAGATGTATTCATGGGAATGAGGACAAGACAGGATATTTATTTTTAACATTTCCAAAATAAAGCAGGTGATACTCTACTTGCAAAATTTTTCAATTCTTCATTACAAACCAGTTCCAAATATTCTGTAAATTTATAGTTAAATTTAAGTTAACTTTTTA